AAAAGAACATTAACAAGACTGTTTGCCCCCATCTGTTTCTCATGTCTACTTTTCTCCAGTTGTTGCCAGCACAAATCAGCTTTTTCCATGAGACAAGAAGGACAGCAGCCTCTAATTCATTCACATCTCACATCCTTCCAGCAACATGACCAAAAATGCAAGGCCTCTTCTCCAAGTCTCTCTCCATCAGTCTCAGAGAAGAATTCTCATGCCCCAGACCAATCATCGCATTCCAATTACTGCCCAGCTGCCTATCAGCCTGCAGCTTCAAACTCCCCCTGAGACTCACAAGAACCCCAGGGCAGTGTTAGAGGTGGCACAGATGATCACAGCTCTGATTTTACATTATGTAGACAGTGAAACGGAGATGAAATTTCCAAACAAGCCATAAAGAAGTTGCATGAAATTTCGGAGTATAACTTTCAGTACTTTTTTGTTCTCCTTATTTTGTTTCATTAGTTTTTTTTACCCCAGGTAAAAAGGTGAACAGCTCAGATGTGTAACTATATTTTTCTTTTCTTAAGCAATTTTTTCTTCCTCTGCCTACATTCACCTGTTCCTCCAAAGGAAAGGTAAAACCACTGCTTTTAAGTGAAAAGAAATATCAGTTATTGTACTAACAGGGTATGTGTTCAGGAATAAAAAACACCTTGCCTACTCTACTTAAGGTTTTAAAAATTACTTTGCTAATCCCATTACTGGGTATATATACCTAAAGGATTATATATCATTCTACACATATATTTTTTGCAGCACTGTTTACAAAAGCAAAGACTTGGAACCAACCCAAATACAAATCAAAGACTGGATAAAGAAAATGTGGCACATATACACCATGGAATACAATGCAGCCTAAAAAAGAATGAGTTCATGTTCTTTGCAGGGACATGGATATAGCTGGAAGCCATCATTTTCAGCAAACTGACACAGGAATGGAAAAACAAACACTGCATTTTCTCACTCATAAGTGGGAGTTGAACAATGAGAACACATGGACACAGAGAGGGAACATCATACACGGGAGCCTGTTGGCAGTGGGGACAAGGGGAGTGAGAGCACTGGGAGAAATATCTAATGTAGATGATGGGTTGATGGGTGCAGCAAAGCACCATGGCATGTGTAAACCTATGTAACAAACCTGCATGTTCTGCACATGTACCCCAGAACTTAAAAGTAATTTTTTTAAAAAAATTATTTTGCTAATGTCTTTAAACTCCAATGTCTTAATGTAACTTCAGGTGCTATTGAGTTTTGACCTAGTGTGGCATAAAGAAAATAGATTCCATGATTTTGGAACATTGTTCATTCCATAAGTAAATAAATAAATTTTGGCAATAAAACCAATTAAATAAGTTTAGACATTTAAACACATGCACAAAGAATATACTGTTTCTATGCATGTAGTTATACACATCAAGGTTTGAAAAAAAATGCATCGTATTATTAGGCTTCATTCGAAGTCCTTAATAAAGACTCTTGAGCTTTGTCTTCTTAAGGCAAATTTAATTCTAGAATTTCTATTTTTGTATTCCTCAAATTGTGCTCTAGGACTACATGCATCAAAATTACATGAGAAAGCTTGTTAAAATACAGATTATTGGACCCCACTTTATATCTATTGAATCAGAATCTCTTGGGGAAAGTTCTAGGAATACTTGTATTTAAAGCTTTGCAAATGGTATTTCTGCACCCTAAACTATGAGCAGCTCTGTTCTAAAACTTTGGAGAGTTTTAATTGCAATTTCTGAGTTACAGTTTCAGATACTATATTTTTCTATCTCTAAAGTAGGATAAAATACTTGTGAATTCTGTGAACTTTATTTTGTCATTAAAATGTAATTAGCAATCTTTGTGGGTCATGCTGGTTTGAAGTTCTGTGAGAAAGTAGCTATAACCATAGTTAATAAAACAAAGTCCTTTGGATTTAAAAATACTCACTCTAATGAGTATTAATGAATAAGACAGGTAAACTCCATTGTTGCAAACTTCTATGATTATAACAAATGAATCAATATGATTTTATTACAATAGGTACATTGCAAGAACTGATGTGATAAGACCCAACTGAAATTAATCTAGATAGTAAAATTTTGTGAAAACTCATTACAGTTGAGAGTTTTCTTCCAAATGAACAACCTCAGCTCTCCATAAACAGGATTTTATTTCCAATCCAAGAGAAGTTATAAGAAGTCAACATATACAATCCAGTTCCTCCCACTAGCAATGCTAGAGTTGCTGCTTAGAAAGTCCTTGCATTTTAGAGCCGGAAGAGCCTTAGGGATAGTGAACTTCAATCCTTCTTACAGATGAAGAAACTGAAGAGCAAATCGCATGATTGACGGCAGAACCAGAAGGAAAATCCTAGTGTTCTGATTACCTACTCCTCCTATTAGAGTACAGAATTAAATGATTCTTCCTGGGATATCCCTGGTTCTCAAAGATTCAGGGGTAGCTGGGAGCAAACTTTTTTATATAACAGATACACTACAGAGTTAAAAAAAAAAATTCAAGTAAACATGAGACTTGAAAGAAACACCACTCAGTCCCCTTGAGTTATTCATTCCTTCTCTCCTCCATTCGAGATACATGGTGGAAATGTTTAAAAATCCCATTGCTACCCCAACTTCCCTACCAAAATCTGACAAAACTAAAAGCAAACAGAAAACATGACCCCCAAAGCAGTCATGGATAATTACTTTATTCATATCCAGGCAGATCCAACATGGTTGAGAATAAGGCAAGTGAGGCTGTTAAGCTCTTCTCAGGTAATTTACTGAGCATCTACTACAAATCTGGGCCTGGGTTTCACTTATTCACTCTGTTATTCAGCAGATACATATGGAACACCTACTAGGAGCTAGAAGCTATGACATGCTTGGGTGATAATAAGATGAATAGACAGGAGAAAGCAGAATTAAACCCATAACTACAGTGTGTTAGATTACAGGCTATAGAACCAGGTGTTATGGCCACAACTACTCTATTAGGTGGAGTCAGAGAAGACGCAAAGTGGAAATGACATTGGACTGAGTCTTGAAAGACAATCAGAGGCTGGGTGCGGTGGCTCACGCCTATAATCCCAGCACTTTGGGAGGCCGAGGCGGGTGGATCACGAGGTCAAGAGATTGAGACCATCCTGGTCAACCTGGTGAAACCTCGTCTCTACTAAAAATACAAAAATTAGCTGGGCATGGTGGCGCATGCCTGTAGTCCCCGCTACTCGGGAGGCTGAGGCAGGAGAATTGCTTGAACCCAGGAAGCAGAGGTTGTGGTGAGCCGGGATCGCGCCATTGCACTCCAGCCTGGGTAACAAGAGCGAAACTCCATCTCAAAAAAAAAAAAAAAAAAAAAAATAGAAAGACAATCAGGAGTCTATTTAATGGAATAATGAAAAAGGAAGAGAAAAGAATGGGAACAGCCCATGCAGAGGTATTAAAGGGTGAGGGGTCATCAGATAAGCAGTTGACGAGAGGATCCAGAGAAAACAATATTATAGATATAAGCATTGTTTTTGTGCCATCTAGCACAATATGGGCAAAGCCAAATGAGTTTTTAAAATAATAATAATCTACCCTCCTTGAGCAAGAGACTGTAGAATGGTGAATGTGGGAGCCCACTCTTGAAAGCTGGCTTCAGAATGAAAGAAATCTATTACGTTTCCTCTCTTTAAAGCCTCAGCTGCCTTCCCAGCTTTCAGAGCCCTCCTCTTCCTGCAAAACTGCTAGGATTTCTAAAATCCAAAAAGAGTCCTTGGAAGGAAGGAATGGTCAAATCAAAGAAGGGACATTATGCATCCCCATGATTACCATAAAATTTTGTCTCCTTTCTAAGTCCCTTGATATGTAGATCACATAGCAGTTTTTTACAATGCTGAGGGATGGTAAGTGATAGACATGAGTTCCAGGTTTCACTACTTAAAAACCATGTGACTTCAGGGAAGCCACATACCTCTCAGGACATTTTTCTCATTGTAAACACCCTGCTAGTTCAATGTGGAGCTTAGACATGATGTAAGGTAGAGCACCTGTTACCAGGTCTAGCCTATCCTGGGCCTTCTATGGGGCAACCGCTACCAGTATTATGCAGTTTCATTCATTCATTCAACAAATCTTTACTGACGACTTATCATGTAGAAGCCAGAAGGAATATAAAAATAAATCTGAATTGTATTTTGCTGTCAGTGACCTCCCAATCTATAGAAGAGATACAGGACCAACCCAAATAGCTATACCATAAAGAAGAAAGCATCTACCACCAAGAGAAATTACTGGGGTTGTAGGGAGGATGGGAAGTGATTACTCATAGAGTGGAGGGATCTGGTAAGAAAGAAGAGGAAACGATTAGGGGCTGAGGATAAAGGAGAGGAGAAATGCCTGAGCTGGGCACTCTTATGCCTTCTGCTGTGGGTATAGCGACTATCTATCCGATGCTTTCACAGATGAAATAAAAGAGGTTTCTGGAAGTATCAACTCACTCAACTCAGAACGCCCCACCTCTAACCGGAAACATATGTGGAACTTAGACATAATGTGAGGCAGAGCACCTGTTACAAGGTCTAGCCTATCCTGGGCCTTCTATGGGGCAGCCGATACCAGTATTATGCTGTTTCATTCATTCATTCAGCAAATCTTTACTGAGGACTTATCATGTAGAAGCCAGAGGAATATAAAAATAAATCTGAATTGGATTTTACTGTCAGTGACCTTCCAATCTATAGAAGAGATACAGCACCAAGCCAAATAAATCTCTCTGCCTCCTATAGCGAGGACCATTTGCAGATGGTAGGGAACAAGACAAGGGAAAGTAGCAGGAAGGAGGTGATGGGGTCACTGGGCACGCAGACAGACTCAGCGGGGTGCACGGTAAGAGGGGGAGGGCAGGGGCGGGCCGGCAGGGAAGGGTGTGTGGAAGGGCAGGTCAAGAGGCGGGGAGAGGAGTGCGGGCCGGACTCCGAGGCCGTCCAAGACACTGGCAAGCCGCAGAAGCCCAGTTCGCCGGCCATGAAGCAGCGATTGTTGGCGCTGCAGCTGCTGAAGCTGCTGCTGCTGCTGCCGCTGCCGCCGCTGCCACGAGCGCTGCGCGAGGCGCGCTGCCGCCCTGAGCCCTGCAACTGCACGCCCGACGGCGCCCTGCGCTGCCCCGGCCCCGGGGCCGGTCTCACTCGACTGTGAGTACACAGCGCTCCCGTCGCGGCCCCCTCGACGCAGGACCCTCAGTCGCTCTGTGTCACCTTCCCTCCCTTCTCTCGTGGCCCCCTTTCCCTGGAAGCTTGGAGAAAGACGCTTTGCCCTATCAAATTTCCCCCACGTTTTAGGGTGATGAGAACTCAAAGCTTGGTGGTGGTTTTTGCAACCCCATGCCCCTGAGAGCCCCGGACCCGGCTCTTTCCCCCTGGGTGGGGCTGCGGCTTGGAGAGTAGAACTATTCAGGAGCCTCAGGAGAAGGCCTGCTCTCTGCCGCTGCTGGAAGGGAATATGGGTGTGATGCTCCTCAACCAGCAGCTGTCTCTGCCAGAGAAGTCACAGGCCTTTGAGCCTAGGGCCAGCCACGTCAGGGAAGATGAATGTGGGCTCTAGCACCCTGTGGTCCTCCAGGAATGGAGTGCTCAGGCCCTATGGCCAAGGGTGACCTAATCTGTCAACTGGAACTGCTGGCGCGGTCACAGGGCCTCTTAGTGAGCATACAAGCCACTGCTCCACCGGGCCCAGATGTGCTCACACTTGAGTCTCATGGTCAAATGGACCAAAGGCCCCGTGCCCAGCCGCCGGACCCCGTGCACCACCACCACCACCTCCACACTCACAGGCCTGATTCAGGGATTGTATACACCAGCAAGCAGATGGAGGGCGTTCATTCCAGGGTGATGAGGTCAAGAGGAGAAGGGGAGCCTTTAGTGCTGGTGTATCAGGGTGTCATCAGGTCTCCTTTCTCCCGTTTAGAAAAAAAAGTACCACAGATTTTATAATCCTATTTACATGAAATGGCCAGATAAACTGAAAGTAGATTAGCAGCTGCCGGAGGTGACAGGGTGGATGGGTGACTACGATCAATGGGTATGGGGTGGGGGGTGATGAAACTTTTGTAAAATTAGATTGTAGTGACAATTGCATGTGAACATATTAAAAACCATTGCATTGTCCACTTTAAATTCTATAGTATAGGATTTACATCTCAATTCTTTTCCTTCAAAGGAAGGAAAAGAAAGAAAAAAAGACAAGTATATCTAAAAGGCTGGTAGAGGTCTTGATCATCTCCTAACCATTAGACATGATGGAATTCTGTGCTGGGGAAGGAAGGAGACCACCCCCTCTGCCATTTCCTTTGAACCCCCAACAGCCTGTTTCATAGAAGAGGCTGGCCCTCCCTAACCCTCTCAACCACAATCATTCCCAGAAGTCTGGGCTGCTTCCAGCGGAAAAGTTAAAGGCCTTCTGGGAATAACTGTGGTTGAAAGATACAGTTTAAGGGTTGAGGGATTTATATTAATTAGTTTCCATTAATTATCTTGTCAGCTCCATTCCCTGAAGGAATGGACCATGCTGATGGAATCTGTTTCCATCAATTCACAAATCCATAGCACAGGCCTTCCAAGTTCCAGCCCTGGTCCATCCCCGACAAGCTGCCGTGTTGCTCCTATGAATGACTGTACCACTAGCAGACCTTCTCACTTGCCTGCTACTTATCATGCAGATTAGAAGAAACTGAGATCCAAAGAGAAGGAATAACTTGCTCAAGGTCCCACAGCTATTGAGTAGCAATTCAGGATTTTATCTATTCATTATCTTTTTAGATTTACTTGTCTTTGTAAGAAAACCACCGCTTTCTTAATAAAACACACACACACACTCTTACACACTCAGTTTCTCCAAAATTAGTACTGAGTGAAGAACTCCCACTGGGGGCATGATTGGGTGGGCCAAGCCCCAGGTCCTTTTCAATTCAGCTTTTCAGTGAGAGAGAGCTCTTAAGGGCTCCTGCTATTCTCGAGAGGACCCCTTCCCTAGAAAAGGCTGAAGTTAATTAAAAACAAACAAACAAACAAACAAACAAACTTTCTCCTGTTGCCTCCCAGCGGGGTTTCAGGAATCCTAGAACCCCTCAGAAATATTTGGCAGGGCTGACTAGGTTTGGGGGTGGAGACCCTGAGCATGCACCAGGAACATCCTCTGCCAGTCATTTAGCCTCCTTAGCCACCCATGCTGACCCTCACCAGGTTGCATTTCCTGAGCATCAGATGGTTGAGAGATGCCCTTATCACTCTGTGGAGGAAGAGCCTATGCAAGCCAAAACAGGATGACTTTTGGCACGACATAACAACATCAACATCCATATGATGAGAGAGGTGCATGTTAAGCAAAGAGAGGGTTGTTACTTTAAGGCAGTATTTCTCTAAGTATGGTCCTAGCCCAGCAGTATGAATATCACCTGGGAAATGTTAGACTGCATATTCTGAAGCCCCAGCCCCAACCTACTGAATCAGAAACTCCAGGGGTGGGGTCCAGCAGGCTACATGTTAACAAGCTCCCCAAGTGATTCTGATGCGTACTAAAGCTTGAAAACCAAGGCACAGCTCTCCACGGAGACAGGCAAAAGTATATTTTAAATGTCTTTGTTCCCTTCTCCATCCCCCCAAAGCATGTATAACAGCTATTTATTGCAAAAAAGCAAAAATTAAAATCCTAAATCCAGAGGTAGATGGAAAATAAGCAGAATTGAGGAAGATTTTTTTTTCCTCAAAGAAGACTGGAAGAAGGAATCCATGGAGGACAGACTAAAGATACAGGGAATGAGGAAAGATTAATAATTGTTAGAGTGGGATCTCAGTGGGGGTAGGAGGAGGGCATCAGTCTAACAACATAGGGGAAATGTTAATCTTAGAACGAATAAGGATAGTTTTGAGTCCTGAAGGAAGAAGACCTTTGGGTAAAGAAATAGCTCAATATTAAGGCAAAGGACAGGAAAAGTGGACAGGTTCACACTGAAATCCTCTTTTCTTGATGGTGAATGCAAGAAATGATAAACAGTAATTATGCCACAGAAAACTGCTATAAATGGCAAGTTATCAGTTCATTAAAAAAAAAAAAAAGACAGCTTAAATTATGAGATAAGGCTTCCAAGAGAAGATGCTATGGTCTTCCACTAAATTATTATAGACTTTGCCTCTGCAGAGAGAAGGGGGGCACTCCAGGTTCTCAGGGTTGGAGGAGGCGATTCCACAGAGCACCTTGGTATTCAGTATCAACCCCTCAATGGATGCCAGTTTATGCTTTAGTCATTTGGGCCCCTAGTAACCTAAGACCTTCATCTGAAGTTCACTATTTGGTTTAAGAAGAAGAAAAAAACCCAAGGTACATGGATTATAACTGCTTATCACTGACAAGCCCACTGCTTACAAATTTTGAAAATGGCATCGTCCAAATCTTTCCTCCCCTTCCATATTTTATGAAAAACATAGGTATTTAAAATCCAAAATGTGATTTAAAAAAAAATGGCCTCCCACATTTCATTTGTTTTAATTGGGGAAAAAAATGAAAGAAAAAAATTGATTTAAAAAATTTCCTCTCCTTTCTTATTAGTTCTAGGCAACTGGAAAAAGGGGAAGAAAAAACTCTCACCTTGCCCATGGTTATATAAAGATCTTTGTCTCTATGACAACAGAAAGGTTGATCTGCTTGATATAGAAACAGCTTCTAAAAAATCTGTTAGTAAGAAAATGCTAATAATAATTACGGCAATTTATTTTTATGCCTGTTGTACCTACTGAACAGAAATTAAACTTTTAGACTTTGTTATAAGACACAATCCAGAGGCTTTGGCAAGATACTGGCTTGGTGCAAAAGTAATTGCCATTAATTTCAATGGCAAAACCACAATTATGTCTGCACCAACCTAACACAATGTTCATATCAATCCAGTGTTACTCTTTCCTCACATCTTTTTTGAGTGTCTTCCTCTTCTCACCTGCAGTGTAAATCAGGGTCCAAAACAATGTTCAATGCCATAGAGGGATGTACATGTAAACGGTGTGGTTCCTGTCCCTGAGGATCCCACAATCTCTGTGGAAACACATCTCCAAGAGACTGGTGTAGATGGAGAGAGAGACAACAGTGTCCAAGGAATTCAGAGAATGAATTAATCACTATGAATGGAAATCTCCAAGGGAAGGTTTCATGGGCCAAGTTTTAAGAAGCTTTAAAGCGGAGTCCTGGTGGAAGAACCACATGTTAAAATCAACTAGAGATCCCTGCTGAGAAGCAAGGAACAAGGTTGAATAAATTCTTCCATCTGTATCCCTCTCCCAGGCTTGAAATATTTTTTAAGAGAAGACATAAAGTTATTAGAGAGCACTGATTACCCAGAGGTTGTGCCAAAAAAAAAGAAAAGAAGAGAAAGAAAAATCCCAATATGGAGTTCTTGACTAATAAGCTTTCAGTGAAAGTCATTCTTTGATGATTCGTTGCAAAAGTGTTAAGTAAAAACCATGATTAGGAGTCACTTCCCCACGAAGCCTGCCCTGATGCCCACCACCCCAACCCCATTCCACTTCCAGCTTCCCCCTCCACATAGTCACTTCAATATCCTGGGCTTACATATATTTTTGCACATATCCCAGCATAATGCAATCATTTATTCACCATGTGCCTCTTCTGCCAGAGCAGGTTTCTAAATCTTAATAATATTAACAATTGGGGCCAGATAATTCTTTGTTATGGGAGCTGTTTTGTACCTTGTAGAATGCTTCCCACTTGATAGATGCCAGGAGCGCTTCCCTCCCAAATTGTGACAAACAAAAGTATCTCTAGACATTTGCCAGATGAACCCTGGAGGGGGCAGGGGGCAATTCCTCCCCCACCCCTTGGTTTAGAATCATTGTGCCAGAGTAAGAACCACCTGAAGAGGTGTTACTCAACTCAGGGTTCCCAGAATTTCACGTGTGTATAATTAAAGTGTTTACTGAGTTTCATGATTAAACTGAGTAGATAGCTGAATAGGAACAATTAACTCATGCAAAAAAGAAGCATGCCTACATTAGCTAGCATGTATTACATCTAAATCTCATTTTTTAAATCTCCATTTTAGAAATGGGGAAGTGAGAAAATGCTAGAGGTTGTGAAGGGAGTTATTTGTGTTATGTCAGCATCCAGATCCTATAATAGAGTTTGTAGG